AAAAAAAAAATCTATATAGGTTTTTAAAATAACTATTTTAATAGAATGAACTCATCATTTTGTTATATTTTATTAACAGAAGAACTATTGCCACAGTTTGTGGAAAATGACATTACTTACAAGCTCAGGTTTGCACAATTAAAAACTTAGTATTTTATTATTCCTTCTGAATTTCCTCTTTCTCAGATCTGTCACTGTTTCCTGGGACTCTGTCTCTAACCTTCTCTTCTGACTTCCTGGTTTCTCCTCAGGTAATCCCAACAAGGTTCAAATATGTGTTCACAATAAATACCATAATAACTGTAGCCAACACATATGGATAGGTGCTGTGTGTGATAGGTGCTCTGCTATGGAGTTTACATAAATTATCTCATTTAGTCCTCAAAATATTTCTGAAAAATTAATATCTGTTTTTAGCTCTATTGCTAAGAAGCAATAGAGATCTGACTTGAACCAAAAGAATAGTATTGCTCACATCCTTACAAACAGGAGGCAAAGATGAGGGATTTTTTGTTGTTAAATGTTGTTGTTTGGTTGGTTTTGGTGGTACTGGGTTTGAACTCAAGGCCTCATGTTTGCTAGGCAAGCACTCTAGCATTTGAGCCACTTCACCAGCTGTTAGGGTTTTTTTTGTTTTTTTTTTTGTGGGACTGGAGTTTGAACTTATGGCTTTGTGCTTGCAAAGCAGGCACTCTACCATTTGGGCCACACCTCCAGCCCAAGATGATAAGTTTTGAAGTCAGACAGATCTGGATTCAAATTGCAGGTCTGCTTCTTACTAGCTATTCCATGGGCAAGTATACAACCTTTTTTAAAGCAGAATTTCTCATCAATTTTACTTGATTATCAAATTATCCTCCATGAAGGCTGAACTAATTTAGAGCCCAGCCAATGCTATGAAAACATCACTTTTCCAGCAATATATATATCAATTTACTTTTTTTTTTTTTTTGAGACAGTGCCTTGTTACATAGTCCATGCTGGCCTTTAGCTTTCCAAAGTGTTGGGATTACAGGTGTGTATCACCACACCTGGTATATTATTATCACTCTTTTGACAATTTGATAAGTGAAAAATGTTATGTTGCTATTACTTTAATTTACATTCCCTGATGCAAGTGGTAAAGCTAAGCATGTTTTCAAATATTACGGGTTTTTAAAAAATTTATATTGACTTTTTAAAGTTTTATCATTTGTTTTTTGGTTTGTTTGGCAGTACTGGGGTTTGAACTAAGGGCCTTGCACTTGCTAGGCAGACACTCTACTATTTCAGCCATGCCCTCATCCCTTTTTGCCTTATGTATTTTATGAATAAGGGCTTGCATTTTTCACCTGGCCGGCCTGTAATACAATCCTATTTATGTTTCCCACACATTTGGGATGATAGGTGTGCTCCACTGCACCCAGCTTTTTTTGTTGAGATGGTCTCTTGAACTTTTTGTCCTGGCTATCCTCAAACTGTAATCCTCACAATCTCCGCCTTTGGAGTAGGTAGCATTACAGGTGTGAGCCACTGAGCCTAGCCTTGCTCATTTTTTTTTATTATATTTTTTGTTGGTTGTCTTTGACTTTTTTTTATTACTGATTTAGTGTGGAATATATTCTTCCAGGCCTTTGCTTATCTTTTTCATACTTTATCTAACTTGACATAAGTTCAAA